CCCCTTAAGCTTGTTACAGAGAGTTAGTGATTTGTTAAGGTGGCAACAAAGAGATCCTTCTTTCAATCTTCCATGGAAACACAGCAGCTTTCCTCTTTTTTCTGATTCTAGCCCTTTGTATCATACACTTAAAAAACCAGAACCATTAACCCCACAAGAAGAGCTTGATCTCCAACTGGGCCTAGAGAGATTGTGGAAACTGTGTGAAAAAAGTGTCCAAGCCAATATCTCCTTGACGGTGGATGCAGAGAACACAGCTGTTCAACCTGCCATTGATTACTTCACATATTCGGCGGCGATCAAGTACAACAAAGACGACAATCCCATTGTGTATGGCACAATTCAAACCTACTTGAAAGATGCGAAAGAGAGGTTGTTGCTTGCATGTAAAGCAGCCGAGAAAATGAGAGTTCCTATGGGGTTTAAGTTAGTAAGGGGTGCTTATATGTCAAGTGAAAATAAGTTAGCCTCTTCATTAGGCTATGATTCTCCAGTTCACAATAGTATTCAAGACACACATGATTGCTTCAATGATTGTGCTTCCTTCATGCTCGAAAAGATCGCTAATGGCCCAGATGCCGTCATTCTTGCAACACATAATGTTGAATCAGGTAAAGAGATGAAGGAGACTCATATGTTATTGATTATAACTATCGGCATTGACATTGGATTTGATACAGGGTGTTCTATGTGCATTCTATAGGGAGATTGGCAGCGACAAAAGCACTAGACTTGGGGATTGGAAAGGGGAACGAAAAGCTTGAGTTTGCGCAGCTATATGGAATGTCAGATGCACTTTCATTTGGTTTAAGCAATGCAGGTTTTCAAGTTAGCAAGTACATGCCATATGGACCTGTTGACAAGGTTATCCCTTACCTTCTAAGGAGGGCTGAAGAGAACAGGGGACTGTTATCTGCTTCATGCATTGACGGGGATCTCATGAGGTAAACAAACTTTTAACACAGACTCAACAATCTAAAAACAAACAAGGGTTTTAGAAAAAAGGTCTCAAGTTTTTTTTCTCTTTTTTTTTTTTTTTTTCCATCTGCAGAAAGGAGTTGAAGAGGAGACTTAAAGCTGCAATCTTTTGAAGTGATGTTCAAATCTCTAAGCGACAAGCCGACACCAACTGTTGAATTGGGCAATGACAAAGAGAATAAGAATCTGAAATAAAATAAGATTTACATGTAATGTAAATATGTAATCGAAAGCAATTTGCCCATTAATGGAAAGTCAATCATGTTATCTTACAAAAAAAAAATTGTTCATGGAATGGTGATGTCTTGCAACATATTTTCTCACTTGTTCCCTTCTGCTCTCACTCTTTCCTTACCCTCAAAGGGACAAAAGCCTGTCCTGTCAATTTTGATCTAAATGGAAAGATAACTGTAAGCGAAATACAGCTTTCATGAGCTCAGTAAAGTGCTTGGACATCAAAGCTTGAAAGAGACTTTATATAATTGATTCTGCCATTCAAATCCGCATGCTAGCTAGGTGATCAGCAAATCAATGAGTATCAACTTGCCCCAGCACCAACTGGGCCTGAAACATTGTCACAGTACTAGGACGGAATCTTAAAAAAGTGCCATTTGAAAATGACATTTGATCCCATCAGATGGGTGGCTGTAATCAAAGTCCAGCTACGAGTAGCTGTCAGCCAACTTATTTTAACAAGCTTGGAAGTTTGCAAGACATCTCTAAGCAGTAAGCACTCCCCAAGATGATGAAGTTTTCCAGTTGTACGAATGTGGTAACAATTAACAAATGCTTCTAGTATCCTCTTTTCTTGGTGTTTCATGTTTTCCTAGAATAAAGGGTCCCAGCTGATGATGGGCTGAGGTGGAGATCAGATCCCTTAATTTTTATATTAAAGTCAAAAGATGAGATTTGTAGCCGAAGACTAGATGATGTGGAACAAGAATCCCAAAATACTTCCCATGTGTTGCTGACCCAGATTCTAAGTTTGCAATAAATTTCTGCAGGAAGGAAGGCTAGCTTTGATCCTACCGACCAACATTAATTAGGTCGAAAGTTAGGTAGGGCTTAGGTGAGCTTTAACCACATACTAATTCCATCAGGAATTTGTGCTCTATGGAATACTATTCCACATCTTAAGGGGCTACAGAACAAGAACTATAGAAACAAAATTAGTATTCTTCAAACGGCAAAAAAGATGGTACAATTTGGCCTTGAAGAAAAATGAAAACTACGCCTAAATTTATCATTGCTTCTTGGTGTCTTATGTACATTTAACTCTAATGGGTACAAGAAGCATATCCTATCTGGTAGATTTTTGCTCATCCTTCCGTATTCATAACAATGCAATAACGCTATGGACTGGGCCTCGTCATAATGTAGTGCCTAAGGCTCTATTCCTACTCAAATATTTAAGTGTATTTCGTGGATTATCAGGCAGCTCTTGCTCTTATTAGGAATAAACAAACTTATCAGAATCTCCAGCTGTAAGATCATGAGGGCACAGTGGCACACTCATTTATTTGTTCTTTCACGCGTCTGAGCAACATGTACGATGGGCTCACAAATGTGCAAAGCATTGGAAAATGAAGAGGGAAAATTAATTTAAAGGAAAAAAAAAAAACACAAAATCACAGGGCTAGATTATCAAATTACGTGCACAAAATTCAGTAGAAGGGGGCCACACAAATTGTTCACATGACACAAAACAACTTTAATGCAAGGAAAAGAGTCCCCACAACTCGTCCTAATAATAGTGGGCGTCAAAATTATACCAAGTGGAATCCCAACTTGCTACGAATACATTTGATTTGTCGTGACGGCTGAGTAGAAGAGCATAGCATTTCCAACAAGCTGACTGGCATTGATCCACAGTCACACTCTTGGAATCTTGGAATCCAATCTTTCCGTAAACAAAACCAAATAAAAGATTCTAAAAGTCAATCTACGACTGCCCTATCACAGCTCAGCCAGCTGCCTCGGATGCTATTGTCGTCTAAAGCATGATGATGAAAGAAAATTATAGCCAGTCCAGGGAATCGATGTGGTTGGTTAGATCCACACAGACCAAGTCCTCGAAATAATTTTCCATGAGGAGAATATTATGACTAAAGGGAAGATGAAAGTTATTCTGTAGAATTTTCTCCAAATGGAATCCAAGATTCTGTAAGATTCAGTTCTGATGCAATTGCTTATGAAAGCACCAAGAAACCCCACCAAAGAGCCTTCTGGTTCAATGGACCACTCGCACCATACAATACAAAGTAAAGTTCACACATCCAGACAAAAACTAAGTGGTTGGGATATGAAAACGACGTACCAATGACCAACAGTAAGGACTAGCCATAAATGATTAAACAAATAACACAAGCCAGAAAATGGCTGTCGGTTGACGTATAAAAATTTCAGTACAGCATAAGAGAGTTAGCTCCGGTGAATAAACGATTTAATGGTTTAAACAAGTCATCTCGAATTTGAATTTTTATATATATATATATATAAAACTCTTTGAATAGTTATTCTTATCTTATGTATCTCACAAAATAAATAGAGATTAGTTTAATTTTTTAAACTTAAAATATCCTAAAGCATTAAAAAAAAAAAAAAAACTGCTGTGTGGGGAGAGCAGAAGACAAGAGGACACAAATGATGACTAGTTGGCACGGATTGAAAGAGATAGGCACCAAATTACTAATGGTAAAGGGATCCCTACTGGAACACATATTTTGGCTGCAATGCCACATCATGACAGCCTGATCAAATAGTGCAGTTGCAATAAAAAAGTGCCATCGAACTAATAGGACCAATTGCGAACCATAGAGAGAGTACTACATTTTTCAACGATCGAAAAGTGCTATAAACCCTAAAAAGCAAGCAGGGCACCCTGGATCTACTTGGCTAGGCCTTGTGCTCATCCAATAACGGAGTTTGCAATGCAGAGGGTTTCTTTATGAGCCACATGATCCAGAGCGTGGTAATATTAACTTGTCAGATTTCCCATACCGGATCTTGAAAACATTCTTCATCTTAAGTCCATGTAACTGATCAATACTGAAGATATGAAAACGAAAATGTTGTACTACTATGGTATGAACAGAGAATTACATAAATTGCAAAAAAATTATAGAAGTCAATAACTATCTTGCTGCTATTTTTGAGGTTTTTACCTTCTGGGTTGGAAGAGAGTGTGGAAGCAAGTAAGGAAGGAATGCTTGTCAGTACAAAATATTTTCAGTAGTATAATTTGTGGTATGAATGCAGTTAATGTACACAACATCATTTACAGCCATCGCTTATAGGGGATCAACCCAGAATCATTATGAACCTCTCAGCCTAAGGATATTGGAGACTTCAAAATCATCTATTATTGGGATGTCAGACATTGAAAAAGATATGAACTCAATGTGCTTTAATGATAAAATGTCATCTCACTTAAAGTGCATACATTTTTAGATGGTGATTCCTGCACCCATGACACAAACACCAGAATGACACTTCCACTAACTTGAATAGATATCTTGTGGTAAATTTATCAATAGACGTCAAAGTCATCTATTATTGGGTTGCCGACATTAAAAAAGATAAAAGAACCCAATGTGCTTTAGTGATAAAATGATGTCAACTTACTTAAGAGCATGCATTTTCAGATGGTGATTCCTGCACCCATGACCCAAACACCAGGATGACACTTCCACTAATTTGAATATATATCTTGTGGTAAATTTATCAATAGACGTCAAAATCATCTATTATTGGGTGGCGGACATTAAAAAAGATAAATGAACCCAGTATGGTTTAATGATAAAATGTCATCTCACTTAAGAGCATACATTTTTTGATGGTGATTCCCGCACCCATGACACAAACACCAGAATGGCACTACCACTAATTTGAATATATCTCTTGTGGTAAATTTATCAATAGACGTCAAAATTTTGAACAAAATCAGACCCTAGAAAAACCTAAATAACCAAAAACAAGATAAGGTAACCACAGTAAAAGTATTTTGAAACCGAACCTACTTTTCAGCTCAGAGTCTGGTAACCTAAAGGGCCTTGCAAACCATCCTGTCTTGTGTCATTCCTTCCCATCAATGATGGCATCCATGGGAACAATTTCCCCAGCTCTTTGCTTATTGTGCTGGGCCTTAGTTGCCTGTCACTGATTCCAAACTTTGCTCTTTCAATTGCTTCCATGACATCTTCCCTTGTCACAATGTCACCACCTGCAAAAACCAAACTTGATTCATATTGAATACTAACCGAGAAAATTATTCTCAAGATATCTGATGCATAAAGGTTACACCATAGAATAGGAAAGAGAGAATTGGTTAGTGGGGGTCGATTTACTCAATGAAGATGCAGTGAAAAGAATGGATATAAAATGATGGCCCATAACATTAGGATAAGGCTACCATCTGTAGTTGATTCAAATTATCATCGCAGATGGTGTAAAAGACCTGATAACAGCTTATTTATAAACTTAAATGTTACCTCTTCGCGCAGCAAGTAAAGCAGCTTCATTAACAATGTTTGCAAGATCAGCACCTACAAAGCCTGGGGTCAGTGAAGCAACTAGATTACAGATACGATTTCCATCTTCTTCTAAAGGAACCCCTCTCAAATGTACGGCCAAGATCTTTCTCCTTCCTTCTTCATCTGGTTCTCCAACAACTACCTTTCTTGAGAAGCGACCAGGCCGGCAAAGGGCTGGATCCAAAGCTTCCGGCCTGTTAGTTGCTGCAATAACCACCACTTTTTTGTCTGACTCAAAGCCATCCATTTCAGTCAGCAACTACAGAGGCAGAAAACAGTTAAATACGAGGAGGAAGCTTTATTCAGAACACAATAAACCATGGCAATTCAGAAATTTTGGAGGGAAAATCTAAAGTCAAAGGATTTAGAGTAACAATGCTACAGAAGAATAGAACAAGCAAGAAAGCCAGTTGATTCATCAGAAGTTCTGACAATAATATATTATGCAAGGTTATACATGTTGCTTTATATGATAGTAAAATCTCGCATTCTGAAGTTTAACATGGTAATTATGGCAATGAGTATCCTGACTGACAACCACATGTAATTTGTAGATGAAGTTGCACATCAATAAGAAAAAGATGACATAAATATAGGATTCAGTTAACTACAACATATTCAGTACAGAAATGGAAACACTGCAAGAGATGCAAGTAGGTTTGAATGATTAGGATACCTGGTTTAGTGTTTGATCCCGTTCATCATTGAAACTTCTACCACGTTTTCCCCCAACTGCATCAAGTTCATCAATGAATATAATCGATGGAGCAGATTTTCTTGCTGCATTAAAGAGATCTCTAATGCGAGCTGCTCCTCTACCAACAAACAACTCCACAAATTCACTGGCAGAAACACTGAAAAATGGTACTCCTGCTTCTCCAGCCACTGCACGTGCCAGTAATGTCTTCCCTGTTCCTGGGGGACCAACCAGCAATACACCTCTAGGTAACTTTGCTCCCAGTTTTTGAAAATTAATAGCTCCTTGCAGACACAAAACTATCTACAAAACATGAATTGCATCAATGAGTTAAGCATAGATATTATAGAGAGATCCATTAAAAATAATGGAACCAGTAGTATATGTAAACAGAAATCTTGTAAGACAAATTAAACAAAATACTTAACTTGTCTCAGAGTCAGATTCTAAGTAGGACATAAAATTAAAAGAGATGTCAAGGGATCTACAACAATTCTCTAACAAGGCACTTCTGTAAACATCAACAAATATCCAAGAGAATATAGAGACACAGTTAGACAAGAAAGCAGCAGGACATCACCTTGCTCAGCCTCAGAGAGCCTCATGCATAACTTGGAAGTTGGCAAAGAAGTTCAAGTGACATTAAAATTAGCTCTATGGCGTTCAAATGTAGGCTTTAACCCCATTAGCATCACATGTTACAACTTCAAGAGTGCTTTCCAGCGCAAATGCGCCCTAGTTACAAAATGGTTAATGATTGAGATACATAATACTTAATCCTCTCCACTTGAACTTATTAATCTATTACAATTGTGAAGATGAGCATAAAAATTAAATAGACTATGACTCTTGATACTGACCTCGAAAATCTAAGCAGTAATAAACCGATATCTGGAAGCTTCTTTTTTTTGTAAAAAAAAAAAAAATTTTGAGAATGATATTTGATAGCAATTTATTTTGTACTTCTGAGGAGACTTTGAGAGGAGAATTGCTTACCTCCATGAGTTCTATCTTAGCAGCATCAACACCCTCCACATCATCAAAAGTGACTGCCTGATTATTTGATTGCCTCTTTTTTGCTGGGCTATTAGCAGCAGAAAGTTGGCGATAGAGAAGCCACATCATAGGAGTCAAGGGAATCCACAAAGATATTATAGTTATAAGCATGCTCCTTATTGACATCAGAATTGATTGAGGGGCTGAGCTGTATGCTGTTCCCTTCGTTCTCATCAAAGTAAGAAGAAATTTCTCGTCACGATCTATTTTCCTTGTAGAAAATTGCCACTCTGGGGTGGAAGCTTGTGGCCTTGAAAATTTCTTAAATAAATCCACCTTTGATGCGAGACCAGTTTTGCTCACAACACCTTCTCTTGCAACTGTTTCAGCTGCATTCTCATTTGGAACATTTACTACTGAAGATTTGTCTTCTGAGTTTTGAGTATTTTCAGCACCCTCAGAGTTTGTGTTATAATATATACGACGGGATCCCTCTTCAAGTAAGACATTTGTAACATAGCCGTTTTGAAGGCTCGTAATCAATTCTGAATATGGAACAATCTTTGGAGATGGCAACGCAGTCAATCTCAAAAACAAGTAGCACATTCCCAATGCGACAGAAATTGAAGTGTAAAGAGTCACTCTTTTCATATTCCTTCTCAAGAACATTCCAAAATCATTCAACATTGACCTGATTGAAACTCCCTTTAATCTTATCTTCAACAACCGCAATCTTGGCTTCAATCTCAATGAAAACCTCTTTCGCAGATTACCATTTCCTCTTTTCCTCAACTGGGTCTCTTCATCCCCACCATTTCCACTCGTCAATGGCCTAATTGAACACTTACAAGACAACCCATTTTGAGACTTGCAACAACCACAAAAACCCAATAATTGAACCCCAGTTTTTCCATTATAAAATGTCCTAAACTTGCTCCTACAAAGCAACAAATGTTCGGGATTGCTAGTACTGCAAAGTCCCAAAGAAGAGATCAAAACTGGACTATAACAAACAGTTGAATATCTCTTCAAAGACTCAGTATTTCCATTATCGACTCCAAAGTCCAGTTTAGTATTCAAGAACCCATTATTGCAAACAGCAGAAAAAGATGCCATGTCTCTTCGAAACAACAACACCAACGATAGTAACTGGTATTCACCAAGAAAATCAAGAATTACCCATCACTAGTTAAGCCTATCATTTGGGATTCTGCAACTAATTATACATGAGAACCTGCTAAACTGTTGAAACCTTAAAGAATTGACGTGCTTATTACCTGGTTTGTAGAAATGGAGAAGAAACTGAGCAATAGGTAGTATCTGTTCTTGTTCAGTGGTGAAGAGATAAGAAATTTTTTGGGTTTGCAAAAACACATTCCACGACTTATAGTAACCTGTGGATTGGGCTTTGGTACTCTATAGCAATGGTATATATAATGGCGGATTAATCACAAGAGACGTCCCTATACTATTGTAGATTGATTAATTGAATCCCTAATCAACGAATTTGATTAATTGAATCCTTTTACATTCTGCTTACAACAGGGACTCCGTCCACGATGCCCTTGGTATCGATTTGTTTTCATGTGGACTCAATTTGTAAAAGAAAAAAACGCTTGAAAAATTATATTGGTTTTTTCCTTCCATCTTTTAATTTATTTTCCATTTTCCTTCAACTATTTTAGCTGAGTGTAAGCGGAAAGCATAACAGAAGAACTCAAGTGTCGAAATTAGTAGTAAAGGGGCTTAATTAACCAAACTGCAAAATATACTTAACCCTAATAATGGCTCCTTGCCCCAAAAGCCCATTTGTTAAAATCCAAACCAATCCCTCAAAAACTAATGACAAAATGAAAACATGGCTACGCTGATGTTTTCCACTTCATTCCTGGGATTCCCATTCCCCAAACACTTCTCCTGCTTCACTCCTTTGTCAGGTTTCTTTCAAATGACTGTCAATTTCTTCTTTCAATTTCATCGAAACCCATTTTGTTTATCTCTTTCTATAATAAAATAACATTTTCTTTTCTTTTCAAATTTGTTTCCGGTATTGATAAAAAATACTTGCAGATAAATGGAACACACTTAAATTGGGTTCGAGGAGCTCACGTTCTATGAAAGCAAACAATAATAAGGAAACGCATTTCCGCTACAGTTCTCGTGTTTCAAGGTGTTCTACTTCTTCCACTTTTGGGTTCACAATGCCATCAGATGGCGGCACTTATGAGAAATCGAAGAGGGTATGGATATGGACAGAAAGCAAGCAAGTCATGACTGCTGCTGTCGAAAGAGGTTGGAATACCTTCATCTTCTTGTCCAAGCATAGACAGCTTGCTATTGAGTGGTCATGTAAGTGCTCTTTTAATTAATCATCCTCCAGTGCTCTTTTAATTAATCCTCCTCCTCTACATTGTTTTCCATGCTATAATTACTAATTAGGATATGAGTTTTAGCAGTAATCTTGTATTATAATTAGTGCACTGTAAGAGATGATCAATAAATGGAGCAAACAGCGTGATGACAGTTTCTCATTTTGAAGTTTGGTTTTGGTGTGTACAGCAATCGCCTTTATATATCCTTTATTTATTGAGGAAGGAGAAGTTTTGGGTGGCGAGAACAAAATGGTTGCCAATATTTTTGAGGTTTCAACTTCCCAAGAATTGCAGCAGCTTCAACCAGAAAATGGGAAGGCTGAGAATGTTATTATTGATCTATTGGATTGGCAGGTATGGATGTTTGATTTCTCCTTATTGGGAGAATCTGTTGCCAGTAGGATTTTACCAACCAATAAGTCAATAACCATCCTTTATTGTTCTGGACTTGCTTGTTTTATTGAGAGAACACTGTGGTTATCCAGTGGAGGAGAGGATATAAAGAACTGCAATCTTCTTTACAAGTACCTCTCCCTCGAGCACAATTTAATGATGTGGATGCTATCTTTTCCAGCTGTTATTCTATTAACAAATACATTTTACACCTAAAAATTGCTTCAAACTTCAAAAATAAATCTGCTGGATGTTTCTTGCTATTCATGAACATCTGTTGCTTACGTTTTCAAGTGATCCATTCCTTTTATAAGAATCACGTGAACATGCTTTAAATTCCAAACAATTAGATCTGCTGGATGTTACCTCTATTCCGTGAACATCTCTTGCTTCCATTTTCAAGTGATTCACTCGCTTCTAAGAATTAATGTAGTAGAATATTTTGAAAATTTATCTCTTTGATTGCATTAGTTTTAACGTCTATGTCATAATTGTAATTATGTCTTACAGATAATACCTGCAGAGAATATTGTTGCAGCATTTCAAGGCAGTCGAAAGACAGTGTTTGCCATCTCAAAAACTCATTCTGAAGCACAAATCTACTTTGAGGTATCTGCTGAATATACTCTTTGATCAGGGAACAGAATGGAATTTGCATGCTTGATTTATTGTTTTATGGCTGTGTCCTTAATTGCATCGGTGTGTCTTATGATACTCATGTTCTTGTATTTGTAGGCCTTGGAGCATGGTTTGGGTGGAGTTGTTCTAAAAGTTGAAGATGTTGAAGCTGTTCTTAAGTTAGAGGTAATTCTAATTCTGGATGGGGCCCCTTGATTCATAAGCAGTAAAGATTGCTTCTTATCCTGGTCAATATTATCAGGACCATTTTAACATAAGGAATGAAGCAAACAATCTGTTGAGCTTGACCAAAGCCATTGTAACTAGAGTTCAAGTAGCCGAAATGGGTGATCGAGTTTGTGTGGATCTCTGTAGCCTCATGAAACCTGGTGAAGGACTTCTGGTACCATTCTAGTTCCTCATGTAGGATCCTTTGCATCCCATTTTTGCTTGTTACATATTATCGATTATGATAGAATGAATATTCCATCACAGGTTGGTTCCTTTGCTAGGGGACTATTCCTTGTTCACTCAGAGTGCTTGGAGTGAAATTACATTGCAAGCAGGCCTTTCCGTGTTAATGCGGTGAGTTGTTTCTCGTGCTGGCAACAGTATCTTGATGACTGTTATGTTTCAACATTGGCAAGGACTTGAGAAACTTGGGCTGAGAACAATTGAAAATGAAATTAGTTGATCTGACTTTTTTACCATTTCAAATTTTAGTTTAACTATGTGAGTTTGTTTTTGTTCCGTTTTGTTAATTAGATATCCAAAAAGTGTCATTTTGATAATTGATTGATTTCCTGAGCGCCACTTTTGGATTTTAAATAACGTTTTGCATTTCCTTATTTATTTAATTTTCTTATTTTGGTGATATACTATTTTGGTTGGAGATATTTTCTCTCTCATAATTTTGAAGTTTGTCAGAATAATTTCTCTCATACACTTGTTATTTTAGTAAGATGATTTCCATATGAAGACATTTGTACTTATGAAGGTGGAAATGGATCAAGAATCATATGCTATTGATGTAGAATGGGTGCGAAGAAGTAAGAGAATGATAAATAAGCCTTTGAAATCGACTAGGAAATCCTTGAAACTACAGGAGGATAAAACACAGAAGGGTTAGAGATCTTCTTCAATCAACATCAGGCAATCGACCTCTAAATTGACAATATAAAACTCAGATGCTCAATTTCCTTCATCAAAATATCATCATATGAGGTGGTCTATATAGGTCCGAAGTAACCATGAAGTCCTAATTCTTGCATAGAAAAAAATTGGACTGCGAATCTACTAAATAATGATGAATTTGTGGGAAACACTTACATATTAGCAGGTGAAAACTCTTCTTATTTTAGCAACTCTTTTCCAGGTGGGCATCAGTTTGATGATGAATGAGACCATTGCTTCTTACAGCCCATTTGTTCAAAGTAAATGAAACTACACAGGAAGCTTCTTTGCATTATTAGGAATAATGTGATAGCTTGCATCAGCTAAAACTAAAATCTCATGTAAATTTGCTTTGTGGAATTATTCAAATGAGATACAATATCGCAAACTATGAAGTTCTAAGGAAATTTCTGCTTGTATCTTGTTGCTCTTTCATATGATTTAAGCAAGAAAATAGGTTGATTGTTCCGATGTTCAAGTATTGGGAGTTCTATTTGGAGTATTTTCTGGGGTTCATTTGTTCTGTGATATATGTGACTCTATTTTACCAAGTTATCTGATGGAAATGTGCAGGGACCAGTACATGCATATGTCTCAATTCCAGGTGGAAGGACTAGCTATCTTTCAGAGCTAAAAGCAGGTAAGGAAGTTGTGGTGGTTGATCAGAAAGGGCAGCTGCGAACTGCAATTGTTGGCCGTATAAAGATAGAAACTAGACCTCTTATCCTTGTTGAAGCAAAGGCATGTATCAATATACCATTACCAAGCATGATCTATTGTTCTTCTAAAATATTACAAATCCACAGACAGTGAAAAATTGAGTACTTACAGACACTGCAATTTGTTTATCTGAACCATCTCAATATATCATCTTCTTTGTAAAATGTTACCGCTAACAACTATCTTCAGTGTGATCAAAGATTGAACAAGGGGAATTTTAAGTCAGTTGGTCAGAACTAATTAAATTAATTAGTAAAGAGTAATAAGTTGCAATTCAAGATGGTGTAGCTACTAACTACTACTTTCCTGCAGAATTATGTTAAAGAACTTGTTGATGCTGATGGGAAAAAAAATAGTATTCTAAATCTTGTAGAATGTTTGGTGTTACAGATTGAGTCAGATGATCAAACTCTGTACAGCATTTTCCTCCAGAATGCAGAAACAGTTGGCTTAGTCCATCCATTTGAAGGTCTGTAAGGACTGCTATTTTACTTTCTGCATGTTTTGAGTTATTTATTTGTTCAATTGTTTCTCTTCATCTTGCATATTTGAATATTCTAAACCCAAACTATCTTCTGCAGGAAATGGACTGGTAAAAGAAGCGATTTCTGTCACTTCACGGAAAGTTGGAGATGAGGTATTATTGCGAATACAAGGAGGTGTTGGACATACAGGAATAGAAATTCAAGAATTCATTGTTGAGAACTGAATAATGTAAAGGATCTGATCATACAATCTAAATTAGTTGATGAGTACATGTGCTGTGAGGCCAAGCTGCAGCTAAATTGCCTGCATCAATATAGTTAACCTGATGAATTAGTTTGCAACATGCTTGTCCGAAAATCCATAGCCTTATCCAATCATTTTAATTTTTCATTAGTTAATTTTTATATAAGTTTATACATTAATTGTAACTTTATTTTTTTGGATATATATATATATATATATATATATAAAGTACTTGTTTTTGTTTATTAATATTTCAGGTTTAAATTATTATAAGTTTTTATTTAAAAATCTTTGAACAAAGAAGAGTAGATCATATTTTTTTAAGCAGAAATTTTATGGAAAAAATAATAATAATTAAATAAAAAATTAATGAAAAAAAATCTTCTCGCCAACATTTAATAAAAATAAAAATTTATTTTTTCATTAGTTATTTTTTATTCAAGTCTTTACATTAATTATAATTTTATTTTCTGGATACATTTTTGTAAAAAATATATATTTATAAAGTTTTTTTTTTGAATTCTTAATTAATATTTTAGGTTTAATAATATACTAATTATAATTTTATTTTCTGGATATATTTTTATAAAAAAAAATATATTTTTAAAGTATTTTTTTGAATTCTAAATTAATATTTTAGGTTTAAATTATTATTGGAAAGGGGAGTATGAATCAAATCACAAGTCTCTTGCATGCGATGTATGCCATTGAACTTTCTTCTTCTTCTTCCTTTTTTTTTTTTTTTTTTTTTGTGATATAAATAAAACCGGTGATGAACCATTTTTATGTATTACTTCATCAACTTAATTACATGTGATGTTAGAGAATGCAATATATAATGTTAGAGCTTATGTCGTCTCTTAATTATTAATTTCATTCGCATATTAGACATCAACTTTTTTTAGTTTATTTTAAATTTAAAAATTTAGACTAATTCTTATCCTGTATGATACATAAAAATAAAATTACAATCTTTTTTAAAGTTAATCTTATCTGTTTCAAATTTATTTGGTATTTTAGCATTTATCTGGAAGGGAAAAAAGAAAAACAAAATCACTAGAAACTGTGACATGCATGGTTAGTTAATCAACACTACGTAAGTTGGATGAAACTGGAAAATGAAAAGGAAAAAAAAAAAAAACTGGATGTGGATTTGGAAAATTAAGAAAATACATTGAGCATGGAATTAGGTAGAAGCTACTAGAAAGCGGAAAACTCATTGAACAAATCCCGCGTGTTTTTAAGAAAATACTTTTCTGCATGTTTTTCGTTGAAACGGTGCGTGTTGGATATTTTTCCAGGTCTTGAACCCATGTGCTGGTGCAAGTTCAAGGCCAAAAATTTTCTGGTCTTCCAATACTGACAATCTTGACTTGACTACAAAAAAAAGTTTACATTTCCAATTAGACATTGCAAGAGGATCTCTTTCAATACCTACCTGTATTAGCATTATTATTTCTACTGGATCTCTTTCCATGAAAGGAGGAGGATACATAAACTGATTTTCTTCTTAATTTCCATATGCTGTTGATATAATATTATTGGTGAAACTTTTCTTCTTTGTGGAAAAAGAGAGGTGGAGGACCGGATAGAATTAATGTCCTTTTATAGACGCTTTAATTGGGTTAGAAAACGGAATCCCGCGTGGACCCATACATCATCAGCGTTGGTTTGGAAATTAAGTGTGGCAGTGAACAAGAAAGACCAGAGGAAGTTGCCTTGGAATTAGAGAATGAGAAACCCATGCACCTTTAAATTTAGCATTTTTCATTGAAATCAAGCATTAAACACAAGCATGGTGTCCCTCTATTATCAGTCGCAACTTCTTGCAACTATAGGCATCACATTTCTCTTGTCACGTATTGTGGTTCCACTTGACTCAGCCTTGCTAGCATCAGAAGGCAAGGCTTTGCTTGAGAGTGGATGGTGGAGTAACTGCAGCAATCTCCCTTCAGATCATTGCAGGTGGCCTGGTATAGTTTGTAATGAGGCTGGAAGCATCATTGGGATTTCTCCACCTTCAAAGTTCCTCAAGGTGAGAACTAAGTTTGGGAATATGAACTTTTCTTGCTTCTCAAACCTTGTTCATCTCGACCTGGCCAACCATGAGCTCGAGTGGAGGCATCCCACCTCAAATTTCTGTCCTTTCAAAACTCGGGTATCTCAACCTCGTCCTTGAATGTTCTAGCAGGTGAGTTACCTTCATCTTCACTTGCGAATCTTAGCCGGTTAGTGAAACTTGACATTTGTTACAATTCTATGTCCAGTTCTATCCCTCCAAAATTAGGCAATCTTAAAAATCTTGTTGTTTTGAACATATCCCACAATGGCCTTTTCGGCACCATCCCTTCAACACTTTGTAATTTGAGCGATCGACGCACTTGGTCATGGATTCCAATTCTCTTGGAGATGTCATCCCTAGAGAAATAGGAAATATGAAAAATCTAGAGAGTTTGAACCTTGGTCATAATGAACTTACCGGTCCAATCCCTCAAACACTCGGGTAGTTTAGTTAAATTGAGGTTTTTAAATCTTTATGACAACGGAATCAATGGATCCATCCCTTCGTAAATAGGAAATTTGACAATGCTTGAAGAGCTAGGTCTCGGTAATAATAACCTTGTTGGTTCAATTCCTTTGAAAATAGGAAATTTGGGGAAGCTTGAAGGGTTAGATCTCGGTAAGAATAACCTTGTTGGTTCCATTCCTTTAGAAATAGGAAATTTGGGAAAGCTTGAATGGTTAGATCTCAGTGAGAATAACCTTGTTGGTCCTATTCCTTCTACATTGATTCTTTTATCCAATTTGAGTTTTCTAAACCTCGGTTATAACCAAATCAAGGGATCCATTTCTTCGTAAATAGGAAATTTGACAATGCTTGAAGAGCTAGGTCTCGGTAATAATAATCTTGTTGGTTCAATTCCTTTGGAAATAGGAAATTTGAGGAAGCTTGAAGGGTTAGATCTCGGTGAGAATAACCTTGTTGGTCATATTCCTTCTACATTGATTCTTTTATCCAGTTTGAGTTTTCTAAACCTCGGTTATAACCAAATCAAGGGATCCATTCCTTCGTAATTAGGAAAATTGACAATGCTTGAAGAGTTAGATCTCAATTTTAATTTCCTTGTTGGTTCGATTCCTTTAGAAATAGGAAATTTAGGGAAGCTTGAATGGTTAGATCTCGATCATAATAACCTTGTTGGTCCTATTCCTTCTATATTAGATCGTTTATCCAGTTTGATTTTTCTAGACATCGATACTAATCAAATCAAAGGATCCATTCCTTCGAATTAGGAAATTTGAAGCATCTAAATGTCTTGTACCTACATTCCAACAAGCTCATCGGTTTGATTCCTCATACATTAGGCAATTTAGCCAACTTGAGTGATCTCGACCTTTCTAGCAACCGCATCATAGTGGTCCATCCCTTCATCATTGGGGAATTGCTTACATTTAACAACTCGGATTTGAGTCGCAACAACTTAAGTGAAGAGATACCTTCCCAATTATATAACTTGCCGTTACGAGTTTGTCAATTTTAGTTACAATAATCTATCGAGCTTCGTTCGGATTGATCGGCCTTCATACACCTTCGGTTTTCCAGTAACTTGTCCTTATTTAAATGGCCAAAGCATACATGATCCCGTAAACCCGTCATTTACCGCATTTGAAGGCAACATAAATTTGCAACTTAATTTCTCAAGTTGTTCGCCTCCAAGTACTCCATTCTTACATCCAAAACACAAGCAAAAATATCCATTCTCTCAAAATATTTCTTCCCATTACCATCACTATCACTATTTCCCTTTTTCTCTTATTCCTTGGATGTTATTTGCTCTCTCAACGTAAGGGCAAAGCTATCAAATTTGAGTCAACCACAGTGAAGAATGGAGACTTATTTTCCGTATGGAATTATGATGGGAAAATTGCATTTGAAGACATCATTGTAGCGACGAGTACTTTGACATTAGATATTGTATTGGATCCGGTGGTTATGGGAGTGTCTACAGAGCACAACTTCCAAGCGGAAGAGTAGTTGCCTTGAAGAAACTTCATCGTCGAGAGGCCGAGGATGCCGGTTTTGACAAGAGTTTCAAGAATGAGGTGAAATCGCTCACGCAAATACGACACAGGAGCATCGTAAAGCTTTTCGGATTCCGTTTGCACCAACGATGCATGTTTCTCATTTATGAATACATGGAAAGGGGAAGCTTGTTTTGTGCCTTGAGAAATGATGTTGAAGCCGTGGAACTAAATTGGAACAATAGAGTGAACATCATCAAGGACATTGCTCATGCGGTATCTTACTTGCATCATGATTGCTCTCCACCAATTGTTCATCGAGACATATCAAGCAACAATGTTCTCGCTGAATTCAGAATTAAAGGCTTTTGTTGCTGATTTTGGTGTGGCTAGATTTCTTCTTCCCGATTCATCCAACAATACCTGTTCTTGCAGGAACTTATGGATACATTGCCCCGGGTTTAAATATTTCTTCTTAGTATATATTGTGCACCACTCCTACACCGATTACACATAATGAGAGAAGCAATAATTCTACCACAATAAACTAATTAGATGACCGGATAAGCAAAAAGCTTATATAAAGTTAAAAAAATTTGATTGCTAATCACAAAAGTTAGAAAAAACAACCTTTTTATCCAGCTTATTTTTGAGTTTTTTAGGAGGCCAATTGGAAAAGAAAATCATATTTTCTAGAGCAACTTATCTTATAATTAACAGCGTAAAGAAAATTTTAAAAAGTTTTAGAGAGGCTATGAGACACATTAATTATCAAATGTATGAAATTTATGCGAGAAAATGGTAATTGTTGTAAGGCCTTTACACAATTCACTTATGTAGATAATCTTGTATTAATTCTATCTCATTTTGTTGATGGGCGAAATTTGCTTATACTATGGAGGTGACTAGAAACTCGTGATGTTTATAGTTTTGGAATTGTGGCATTGGAAACATTGATGGGAAAGCATCCAGGAGATCTATTATCATCATCTCGCTTCGGGTATAACTTTGAGTCAAGTGTTAGATCCACGTCTATCACCTCCAAGAAATGAAATTCTCCAACAAAATATAATTGTTATTGTTGCTCTAGCATTTTCCCGCATCTATGCTAAGCCAAAATCACGACCTTCCATGAAATTTGTGTCTCAAGAATTTCTATCTCCTAGTAGAGCTTCATCGGTCGGTTCTTTTTATGAGATTTCTTTGCTAGAGTTGCAAAGTCTTGGCATGCAATATCTAACAAGTGAGACACGATCACATATGCCATATCATCAAGATGAGAGCCTCATTGAGATGTCAAATTTGACCTACTCGTTGAACTTCAAGGAGAGCTTCTAAGAGAGCATGTTTGGTGGTTGTTCTTCTTTTATGAAAAGATAAACATTTGTCCTTTTTCCTAGATTAGTTGACTATATATTTTTGTAATATTTTAGTGTAACAACGAGAACTCGGTATGAATAAACCTTTTTCCATTTAATTTGTATTTTCGTTAACTTTCAATATTTTTGTTTGTTTTTAATATCTAAACCATAAGTATAGAATGATTGCATGCAATCATTCCTTTGGGTTATGTGACATTGGTTAGTCAAATCAAGTTAATCAAGATAGACGAATGTTTTATAATATATCAAAATTGATAGTAAAAGATTTAATATGGACTGAATTTATGTTAAGAGATAGAAATAACAACAAAATAAAAGTAGAGGATTGACTCTCTTAATCTTAATTTAGATTTTTTTGGTACAGAGGAGGAGGCAAAGCTAAGGTCTTAAGAAATAGACACCAACAACATCACTAGATTAATGTCTCTAATACCTAGTGGAGGATGATTCCAAACTCAAAAAAGACCATCATTCGACAAAACAATAGAAGTGAGTCGGTGCTCGATTACCTTCGCTCAAAGTATGTTTAAAGCATACATACCATTGTCTTTGACAAAGACAATGGATGTCTATGATAATGTTGTAGTAGGGAGGAGTTTGAAGAACACCATTACAAATAACATTGGCCACTTCTTGGGAGTCGGTCTCATATTCGGCTTCTAAAAGCCACAATCCCAATCAAGAATGAGATCTCGACAACCGCTTCTAACTCTACCATCATAATAGAAGAGTGTCCAAGATAACTCGATAAATCAATTTTTTAAATACCATAGTAGTCTCGAATAAGATCCTTAATCCCAAGCATGAGTAGTTGAGCCGATGAAACTATCATCGGTATTGGGAAGGTGCTAGCTAAGAAATCTAGCACTAGGAGAGTGGGCGATAGGCAAGAGATGAAGATTTAAAGGCTAAAAGACAATCATTAGCCAAAGAGTAAATTACCCTTACTTAACATTCGGATGGGAGTAGAGTATCGTGAATAAATTTTTTATTATGTGCACACTAAATAATCCAGCTTGTAAAGATAAAGAAATGGCGTTGGTGCTAAGGAGTAGAAGAGCGAGAAGGCATTGCTATGGAACCAGATCCTCCCATGAAGTCGAGAAGAAATCGATGGACATATTTATGTAATTTAGTTGCTACCAAATATTCTAAGCCCAAACACAATCCCTAAGAATATGTATCACTATTTCTTGAGCCACGCCACATCTTTGTCAAATAGAGGAAGTGGACATACCCCTATGAAAAATGAAAAGCATTAGTGGGGAGATGTTGCCAATCTAATTGCCATAAGAGAAAAAAATGCTTTGTGTTAATTTTTGACTCCAAATACTTTTCCATTTGATGTTCAACTCCGTTGGGTAAGAAACCTAGGTAATAAACTCATTACCATACATAACAATATAACACCTTGAACCGTTTTCTTCTCATGCTAATCTATCTATCGAAGAGAAGACTCTAGTATGAGGGGTAGCTAATAAAGATGCATGAATATGTGTAGGTAGAGAAATACAAAGATGTGATGTATCCTAATTTCTAGATTTTGAGATGATATCTCCAACCAAGAACTCCTCTCTTCTATATCAATGTTAGCCACATAATGCTTTAATGAAACATGCCCCAACCATTTATCAAACCACATACAAAGATGTCTTCCGGCCATCACCAACACTATAAGAACATCACCATTTAGCGACGGACAAATCCATTGCTATTAAGAGCAAATCCATCGCTAAAAGCATTTAGCGATGGATTTACGATTGAAGAAATCTATCTACTATAAGACATCTACCATTTAGCAATGAAAATTAGTGATGAAACATATTATACCTCTATTTTGTGATGGATTTGCGATGTAATAGCATAAAACTTATTTTGATACGATTTGAGACTCATAGCAATGGAATATTCATGTCGGATTAATTTTGATTGCTAATTTACAACCCTACGAAATTAGCAATGGAATGGTGACGGTTTCCAAATAAAAATTAGCAAGTGAATTCAAATTCCATCTCTAAAAAACTATTTGATTAAACCGAAAAATTCTTGAGAAAATAAAACGATGGCTTTAGCGAAGAAATTTACTTTTTTTTTTAATTATTGATGGATTAGTGAGTGAATTTAAATTCCATCGCTAATATGGACCTATACCCAATTTATGAAAAGATTTAAAAAATAAAATGACAGAATTAATGACAAAAAATAAAAATCGTTGTCGAAGAGACATAGAATCACAACGAAATTTTGTTTTTCGTTGCTAACTTATAATTTTGCTATTTTTCTAAAACATCAAAAAATGA